ACAGGAGCGCGCGTGGCTTCGCGCACTACGACAGACAAGCATGGACAGCGATTCGGGTTGGTTCACGCTGAAGTGAACCTAGGCTGAATCTTTGTGTGGTTTTGGTGGTAATTGTACTGGTATATAAATTCAATTGTTTACGTCTAATCTTAGTTCTTCTTGCGGAGCGTGATCCAGAGCGCCACAATGCCAATGAAGCGGAAGAGAAGGTTGATCCAGACCAAAAAGATAATGTCGTAGCCCATGCTCTTCTTGTCGAGGCCGAGGTTCGCGAGCACCTGAGCCCCCGTCGTCGCGACGCAGCTCTCGACAGCCGCATCGCAAGGAATCGTGTCAATCGAGTTCCAGAAGGCGCGACACATGCCGCGGAAGGCGTACTTCATCGGCGAGATGAACTCGAGCCAGCGAAAGTAGACAGGCACGTTGTTGGTGTTGATAAAGAGACCGCCAAAGATGAGGAACGGGAGGATGATGAGGATGCCGATGATCGGCGCGATCTCGGGCGTCTTGGCAATGCACGATACCATGTAGCCGAGGCCGGTCGCCGAGCTCGAGAGGAGCGCAATGAAGAGGTAGAACGTGAAGAAGAGACCGGCGTTGGACGCGCCAAAGCCGACCATAAAGTACACCGGGATCAAAAAGATGAGCGGGAAGAAGAACTGCATCACGAGCTCGCTCACATTCTTGGCAATGTACCAGACGTACGACCGGTAGAGACCACCGTTGTACTCGCGCTTCATGATGGGCAATTCAAGCGGCACGGACGCAAACTCGGGCGTCGTCGCGCTGAAAAACTGGTTGACGACGATGAAGAAGATGGCGCCCGTGAACGACTGGATGCCAGTCTGCGAGAGCTCCAGCTGGCGGAAGATCAAGCCGACGACGACCGAGATGATGATGCTCTGGCCGAGGCGCGCCTTAAACGCGAGCGAGTCCCGTACGAGGCGCGTCACGTTGCGCTTGCAGAGGACGCGCATCGAACCAAACGTGCCGAGGTGCGAGCTTTCGTACACCGTGTCGCTGGCGTCGCTCGAGCCATCCGAGTCGTCCTTGACGTCGCCATTGTTACCGATCGCGTGGCTGCGGGCGCGCCAGTTGGCGACGAGCTTGTCGACGCGGGCAGCCGCCTCGGATTTGGTGTCAAGCACAATCATTTGGCGCATAAAGTAGTCGGTCGGGTTCATGTAGTTGGGACACTGGTAGCCCTGCGACGCAAAGTACTCGACCGCGTCCGACGCCTTGCCGTTGTAGATCGGCTGGCCGTCCGAGAG